TAGGCAGGAAAGGCAATCTATTCATGCTAAGAATTTGCCTCGTGGAATTTCACAGGGGCCCAGAGCTAGCTCAAAAGTCTCGTCCTTGGTCTCCAAAACACTACAGGTAGTTCTCAATTTAAGACCACGACTGGGACCCAAATTGCTGTTGCTAAGAGAGACAGTTGTTAAGTGAATTTTGCCCCATTTTACGACCTTTCTTGCCACAGTTGTTAAAGTGGATCACTGTAGTTGTTAAGTTAGTAACATGTTTGCTAAGTGAATCCAGCTCCCCACTTGACTTTGCTTGTCAAAAGGTTGCAAGAAGCAATCACAGACCCCCGGACATGCAATACTAATAATACTAATAATGCTAATATACTACTACTACTACTACTACTACTACTACTACTACTATTACTACTACTACTACTACTACTACTAACAAAGTTGGAAGGGACCTTGGAGGTCTAGTCCAACCCCCTGTTCAGGCAGACAAGCACTGGTCTTAACAATTGTCGATAAGAAAGACAAAAAAGTCTGGATAGTGGACGTGGCAGTGCCTGGAGACAGCAGAATAGACGAGAAAGAACTGGAGAAGATAACAAAATACAAAGACCTACAAATAGAAATAGAAAGACTGTGGCAAAAGCAAGCAAGGGTAGTACCAATAGTAATAGGTGCCTTGGGTACAATCCCAAAACAACTGGAGCACCACTTGAACACCATTGGCATTGACAAATTCGCCATTAGTCAATTGCAAAAGGCGACCTTACTAGGATCTGCTTCCATCCTGCGACGATATCTGTAATATACCATCAAACATCCACATCTGCCTATCCCAGGTCCTTGGTAAGGACTCGATAGGTAGACAAAATGCCAAATCCAGTCTGAACATCTGGCTGACTGTGCGATGATCCATAATAAAGTTGGAAGGGACCTTGGAGGTCTTCTAATCCAACCCCCTGCTCAGGCAGGAAACCCTATACCATTTCAGACATAACAGACTGGACAGCCATTTCTGTAACTTCTGTAACTTCAAACAGTCACTAAATGAATTGTTATAAATCGAGGACTATCTGTATTATCAGTTTCCATGTTTTTCTGACTTTTCACACATGCTATCAATGCCAAATGTAAGGGATCCCCACTCTAGAGCAGGGTTACCCAACCCCTGGTCCATGGACCAGCACCAGGCCACAGCATGCCAGCAACCGGGCCGCACAAACAAGCCAAGCCCCATCCATGGGATGCATGCAGCACATAAACCACACTCTCTCTGGTCCGCGGAAAAATCTTTCTCTACAGATCCGGTCCCTGGTGCCCAAAAGGTTGGGGGTCTCTGCTCCACTGGGCCAACTTCAAAAGAGGCACACAAAATAATTGTAGGCAAAACCCTATTGAGTGGATACCCCAGAAACTACTTTATGGGTAGAAACATGGTGTTCTTACACTATGGTGTCTGTCAGTGAAACACTTAATCTATCTGCTCTTTGGCTTTAGTCATTTCTTGAAAAGTACTGAATAATCGGTGTTGGGAAATGTTGTGGAAAATAACAGAAAACCAAAACTCTTATTTCAAAGGAGGAGAGAATGGAGGGCCCAGAAGGTTAAGAGAAAATTAAATCACACACCTACACATCAAGGATATTCTGGAATACATCAGCTAACGTTTGTTTATTTTAAGGCACTGGAAGGAAAGAATGGCCAGATGGTAGCGGAAAGAGCATCAAACGCACACACCGTAATGCTGAATCACAGTAATGGAAACTCCTGCACTTAAGCTTCTATTACAGTGTTGGGCAAACAGGTTTTTCTGGGCAAAGATAGGCATAATTTAAAGCCAAGAGTAATGTTGACTTGTCCTATGCCTTATGCTCATTACATTATGCTCAGAATAGTCCTGCGTGAAAGAGGTAGACGCCCGTGACGTCAGCCCCACTTGGTACGCCAGACTAGGAAATGAGAAAAAGAGCCAGTTTAGTCTAGTGCAGTGGTGGCGAACCTATGGCACGGGTGCCAGAGGCGGCACTCAGAGCCCTCTCTGTAGGCACGCATGCCGTCGTTCCAGTCCTAGGCCTTCAGCTGGGTTTTATAAAACCTTTTTGCTTTAGGCCTCCGCCGCCATGTGCAAAAAAAAAAAAAGGTTCAATCAGTCAATTTCAACTTCTCGCGGGAAAAGAAAAGGTCTTGTAAAGTTGGAATTGATTGATTGAACGTTTTAGTCCTACCCAGTCTGCCGTTACCACTGCAGCCATGCCCACCCAATGGGCCACACCCACCCAATGGGCCACACCCACCCGGCACTCGATGATGCATAAGTGGGTTTGGGTTGCAGTTTGGGCACTCGGTCTCTAAAAGGTTCGCCATCACTGGTCTATTGGTTAAGATGCTGGTCTAGAAACTAGGAGATGGTGAGTTCTAGTCCCGCCTTAGGCATGAAAGCCTAGTGAATGTCTTTGAACCAATCACCAGGAGACAGTGAGTTCTTGTCCTGACTTGGGAATGAAAGCCAGCTGGGTGACTTTGGGCCAGTCCCTCTCTCTCAATCAAACCCACCTCACAGTAATGTTGTGGTGGGAAAAAGAGGAGGAACGGGTATTAGGTATGTTCGCCACCTTGAATTATAGTTCAGTGACTTAGGAGGTGACAGTAATAGATTTCAACCATGGATAAATTGGTGAAGGAGCTGTGGTTAAAATCCAGCTCAATACATTTGAACTTCTAGCTCAGTGATGGCGAACCTTTTAGAGACCGAGTGCCCAAACTGCAACCCAAAACCCACTTATGCATCGTCGGGTGCCGGGTGGGTGTGGCCCATTGGCTGGGTGTGGCCAATTGGGTGGGCATGGCCAATTGGGTGGGCGTGGCTGTGGTGGTAATGGCAGACTGGGTGGGAATAAAAAGTTCAATCAATTCCAATTTTGCAAGATCTTTTTTTTTTCCGCGAGAAGTTGAAATTGACTGATGGAACCTTTTTTTTTTGGTACATGGCGGCGGAGGCCTAAAGCGAAAAGGTTTTATAAAACCCAGCTGAAGGCCTAGGACAGTGGTTCTCAACCTTTTTAATGCCGTGACCCCAACCGGTCGTAAGTCGAGGACTAAACCAGTTGTAGGTCGAGGACTACCCAACCGGTCGTAAGTCGAGGACTTTCCCTGCCCGGGAGCGCCGCACATGCGTGGTTCCGCCCCCTGCGCCGGCCGAGGCGTAGCTGGCAAGCGGCAGAGACGGAGCAGGCCGACCACCAGCTGGCCCAGCCCAAGGGAGGTAAGGCACCCGCCGGGAAAGGGGGAAAAATGGCGGACAAAACAAATGGCGGACAAAAAAAATGGCGGACAGCCTTGCTTGGCGACCCCCGTGAAATGGTCGATCGACCCCAAATGGGGTCCCGACCCACAGGTTCATAACCACTGGCCTAGGACTGGGGTGAGGGCGTGCGTGCCCACAGAGAGGGCTCTGACTGCTGCCTCTGGCACCCGTGCCATAGGTTCGCCACCACTGTTCTAGCTAAAGATTAAAGTCCTAAATAAGAGGCTTCTGTAGAAACTTAGAACTCTGTATTTAGATCAAGTCTGTCCAAACCTTGGCAACTTTAAAGATCTGTGGATTTCAACTCCCAGACTTCCCCAGCCAGCAGGAAAAATTCTGGGAGTTGAAGTCCACAAGTCTTAAAGTTGCCAAAGTTTAGACACCCCTGATTTAGACTATCTTGTAAAAGGAAACAGATTATCTCCCACTTCTATGAAATGATTACCCGTTTTTTTTTGTTTTTTTTGCATGATTAAGGATGTTCCAAAAGCTTTGAACTCTCCAAAGTTATTTTGGAAAGCTGTCTTTTGGTGCCATCTTCAGGCTTCTTTTTTATCACATATTTTTATTAAAATGTTTTTGTTTTCTTAATATGAAATACAAAAAAGACAATGGAAAAAAGGGAAAGCAGACAGAGGGGAATAAAAAAGAGACAGAAAGCAGTGACTTGCAACCTTTTAAAGTGAAGTAAGATACATAACGATGTTACAGTATCAACTTTTTAGTTATACCAAATAGTAACTACTAACCATTTCTATAACAATAACTATCATCAGGCGTCTCAGCATTTCTTGACCAGAAAATCTAATAAAATGGTGGTGTGGTGGTGTGAAGTCTCTAACTTCACACCACCTTTCAATTGTCAAATACTTACTAAGGTAAGTCGTGTACAAGACGATGCTTTAAATAAATGAATAAAGATGGATTGTAGCTGAGGCCCTGGGCCTGGATAGTGCCCTTCCCCTGGCTGGGGATGATTGCTTGTGCAGTGGCATGTATTTTATTTTTTTGATACAGTATATCTTCTGCATTTTTATTGTAAGGCGCCTAGAGTCAGGTAAAACTGAGATAGGCACCTGTGGATGGATAGATAGATGGAAGGAAGGAAGGAGAAAGAGTGAGAGGAAGGAAGGAAATAGGGAGGGAGGGTGGAAAGAAAGAGAGTGGGAGGGAGGGAGGAAAAAGAAAGGAAAGAAAGAAGGAAAGAAAAAGAAAGAAAGAAAGAAAGAAAGAAAGAAAGAAAAGAAAAGAAAAAGAGAGTGGGAGGGAGGGAGGAAAAAGAAAGGAAAGAAAGGACAGAAAAAGAAAGAAAGAAAGAAAGAAAGAAAGAAAGAAAGAAAAGAAAAAGAGAGTGGGAAGGAAGGAAGAAAGCTAGGGAGGGGAGGGGAGGAAGGAAGAGGCTCTTAGCGGGCAACTGGAGAAGGACGATGGGACTTGTAGTTCCCCAGACCCCTGCCCCTCTCCTCCCTTCCGGGCTTCAGAAGCCCCCGGCGGGCCGCGTCTCCTAAGGCGCTTCCCCTGGGGACGGCCGAACGCCGCGGGACTACCCGTCCCATGCGCCTCGGCGGGAGAGAGCGATGGGAGGCGGGACGCGCCGGGCCAGGCCTCGCCCGCCCGGAAATGAGCGCTGAGGCGGCGGCCGGGGGCCGAGGCCGGCGTCGGGCCTGCTCTTCCGGGATGCGGCGGCGGCGGCCGAGGCGGCGGTCCGGGCATGAGCGACGTGGTGGAGCGGACGCTGAGCGCCTTGCCCGGCTGGCTGGGCCAGCAGCGCGAGCCCGCGGCGGCGCTGGGCGGAGGAGGAGGAGGAGGCCCGGCGCGGCCCGGCCGGAGCGCCGCCACCTCGCGCCTGGGCGGCCTGATCCGCAGCATCACCGCGCTCGCCTCCAAGCATGTAAGGCCGCGCGCGGGGCGGGGAGGGCCGGCGGGCGGGCGGGCAGGCAGGCAGGCAGGCAGGTAGGCCTCGGGGCGCCCGGGAGCGCCCGGTAGGGGAAGGAGGGGGGGCACGTGCGCGCGCGTTCCATCAGGAAGCCCGGGAGGGGGCGGTGCGCGTGCTCGTGCGCGCTCGCCCGTTGGGGGGGAGGGCAGAAGTGTCAGCGCGCAGAGGCTGCTTCTCCCTCCCTCCCCCTTTTCTTTCTCTCCCTCCCTCTTTTTTTCTCTCCCTCTTTTCTCTCTCTCTCCCTTTTCTTTCTCTCTCTCCCTCTCCCTCCCTCCCTTTTTTTTCTCTCTCTCTCTCCCTCCCTCCCTCCCTCCCTTTTCTTTCTCTATCTCTCTCCCTCCCTCTTTTCTTTCTCTCCCTCCCTCTTTTTTTCTCTCTCTCCCTTTTCTTTCTTTCTCTCCCTCTCCCTCCCTCCCTCTTTCTCTCTCTCCCCCTTTTCGCTTGCTCTCTATCTATCTATATCTATCTATCTATCTATCTATCTATCTATCTATCTACCTACCCCTCCCTCTTTCTCTCTCTCCCTCCCTCTTTTCTTTCTCTCCTTCTCTCTTTTCTTTCTCTCTCTCTCTCTCTCCCTCCCTCTCCCTTTTTTTCTTTCTCTCTCTCTCCCTCTCTCCCTCCCTCTTTTCTTTCTCTCCCTCCCTTCCTCTTTTCTTTCTCTCTCTCTCCCTCCCGACCTCTTTTCTCTCTCTCTCTCTCCCTCCCTCTTCTCTCTCTCTCTCTCTCTCTCTCTCTCTCTCTCTCTCTCTCTCCTTTTGCAAGGCCCCACCAGGCTCAGTGGCATGCCCAAGAGTTCCCTGGGCTTATGCAGAGTTCCCCTTCTTCTGCTTCCTCTATAGCTAGGGGAGCCATGCCTTACGGTGTAGAGTACTTGTATCTGCTCCCCCTCCCCTTGTTTTCCCCATTTTTCCTTCCCCACCCTGAGTGAAAGAGGGAGGTTATTGTCTTCTTTTCTAACTGCTTATTAAGACCTCAGAATGTGCAAAGTGAAAATAAGGTAAGAATCGCGAAATGCGAAGTGCTGTTTTAGTCTTTAGCTCATTTTCAGGGGTTCTTTTTTTTAAATAATGTTTTCAATTTTATACATTGCTAGGAAGAAGAAAAACTTATCCACCAGGAATTAAATAATTTAAAAGCCACTGTTTCCGCACCAACTACAACTCTGGTAAGTCTTAAAGACAAAATAAAATATAATTGCTATTGTTTTCTCTACAAGCCGATGCCTATAGTTGTAAAGCTGCTGTAAGCTTTACAGTTACTAGATCAGATTCCTTATTTTTTCCCCATTTAATGTTTTTACCCTTTAGATTCTTTTATATCCCACTCTCCTTAGGCTGGTCTATGACCGTCATAAAGATTTGATTGAGGTGAGATATAAATTAACTAATAAAGACAGCAATGCCAGATTGTTTTTAAAGACATTTTATTTTCTGCTCTTCAGAAATTGATGAAGGAATGTATGGTGAGGATGGTCTATTGTGAGATGCTGGGCTATGAAGCTTCTTTTGGATACATCCATGCCATTAAGCTCGCACAGCAAGGCAATCTTTTTGAGAAAAGAGTTGGTAGGTATTTTCATTAATTATGTGTTTCTTCATCTTCAAGTCCATAAATCATGACGCCTTTGTATTCTTTATGTGGGTAAAACAGGCTTTTGGCGTGGTATCTCCCAAACCTTTACAACAGGGGTGTCAAACTCAATTTCATTGAGGGCCGCATCAGCATTGTGGTTGCCCGGGGGGGGGCATGTGGGTGTGGCCAGGGCGGGTGCGGCCTACTGGGTGGGCGTGGATGGAGTGGGTGTGGCCTACTGGGTGGGCGTGGCCAGCTCTACATCGTTCGCGTCAAGGGTGCCTGTGGGGGCCTGGGCAGGAGTGGGACAGATCTGAGGGTCTCTGGCAGAAGAGGGTGGGACCGGGGCAAGCGCCAAGGCATGGTCCATTTCTTCATTCCTCACAACGGGTAACCCCCTCCCCAGCATGCACCTAGGGGGCGGGGCCGACACAGCAGGGGCTGCTTCCTCGCTGTTTCCAGACGGCCTTGTGGAGCTAAGACTGAATGCGTTTCAGCATAGATGGCCACCACAAAATTGTACATTGGCTCCCGATTGGCCTGGGCCAGGGCCATGGCAGAGGGGGCCGTTCCCTCACTGTTTCCAGGATGGCTCCGCGGGCTACATGAAACCACTTCGCGGGCCGCATCCGGGCCCCAGCCCTTGTGTTTGACATGTCTGCTTTACAGTATTCAGCCAGTGAGCTTCTTGGAGAGATGTATGTCATTCTTGCTATAGGTTGATCTGAACTTGTAGAATATAGAGAGGTGGAAACTATTTGATGTCTTAATGCAGAATATTTCTCCCCCCCACCTTTTTTTTAGGTTATTTGGCAATTTCTTTATTTCTGCATGAAAACCATGAGTTGCTGGTTCTACTGGTGAATACAGTGGTGAAGGTATGGTTTTGCAAAGTATGCTTTAAACCGTAGTTTCTTGAGCTGACTTGATCAACCAGGCTTAAGGGAAAGCCGAATGCTTGCTAAATGTTTTCCTGTGGAGGAGAAAGAAGGAATATTGTAAGATCTGCTGGGGTTCCTTTTTGCCTAACTACAGGTTAATGAGTTGTGTGAATCATAGCAACAGGAGCTTGTCAACAGGCACGTATGTACACACAAATTGTGCTCAATACCTTTAAAGTCTGCCCTTTCATTGGTAGTGGGATCTGCTGAAGGCCATGGTTTGAATGTAAACTTTCTTTGATCACTGCACTATTTTCTTGCAAACATTGCAAGTTAATTTAGATTGTTTCTCAAGTTTCATTCTTCCAAGTTAGTAACCCATATAAACTGGCTGCACAGTTACCATAACAAGATAATGTCTGTTTATCTGCCTGCTTAATGTCTGGTGATTGACATTTATCCAGCCAGTGAAAGCGTGGAGAGGTTTAAATGCAGGGGTCTTCAAACTTGGCCCTTTTATGACTTGTGGTCTTCAACTCCCAGAATTCCTCAGCCAGGCATGCTGGTTGAGGAATTCTGGGAGTTGAAGTCCACAAGTCAAGGGGTCTTCAAACTTGGCCCTTTTATTACTTGTGGACTTCAACTCCCAGAATACGTGCCTGGCTGAGGAACTCTGGGAGTTGAAGTCCACAAGTCATAAAAGGGCCAAGTTTGAAGACCCCTGGTTTAGTGGATGACTGAGTGTTGCGCAATGTTATTAATGTTGGGAGATATGAAAATGGAGGACATGAGATGGGGTGGTGTGGTGGTCAGCAAGTCACCTGGAGGAGAGAAGTGAAAAGATTTCCCCCAAATACTGGTGGCTCCCAAGTAGCAAGAAAGGTCCTCAAATGGGGCAAAACTCACTTAACACCTCTCTCACCGAGGTACAGAAACGTTGGGCTCAGTGGTGACTGTAAGTCGAGGACTGTCTGTAGTCAACCCATTTAACAAAATCCTTCTCCTCTTCGTGGCAGGATTTGCAGAGCACGAATCTCATGGAGGTGTGCATGGCCCTCACAGCGGCCAGCCAGCTTTTCCCGCAAGAAATGATTCCCGCTGTCCTTCCGCTCGTAGAAGACAAACTCCAGCATTCTAAGTACGTGCTAGGCCAGTGGTGGCGAACCTATGGCACGGGTGCCAGAGGCGGCACTCAGAGCCCTCTCTGTGGGCATGCACGCCGTCGCCCCAGTCCTAGGCCTTCAGCTGGGTTTTATAAAACCTTTTCATTTTAGGCCTCTGCCACCGTGTACAAAAAAAAAAAAAAGTTCAATCAATCAGTCAATTTCAACTTCTCGCGTAGAAAAAAAAATCTTGCAAAGTTGGAATTGATTGATTGAACTTTTTAGTCCCAACCAGTCTGCCATTACCACCGCAGCCACGCCCACCCAATGGGCCACACCCACCCAATGGGCTACACCCACCCAATGGGCCACACCCACCCGGCATCCGACGATGCATAAGTGGGTTTTGGGTTGCAGTTTGGGCACTTGGTCTCTAAAAGGTTCGCCATCACGGTGCTAGGCCTTGGCTCCATTTGTTGAGAAAGATCTAGTTTATAAGAGATCAAGTGTATTGCGATAGTGCAAAGCCAGAACTGAAAATTGTGTGCCCAGATCCCTAAGTTCTACTCTTCCCTTCCATAACTATTTTTCATTGCTCCCTCCCAGTGTAACAAATCCAGTTCCAGCAATATGTTTTCCTAATGGTCAGTTCAAGCACAGCTTAGCCCCCTTCTTCTTCCAGCTGGGTGACCTTGAGGCAGAGTCTTGAAGAGATGCAGCATTTACTTCCGTTTCCCAACCTTCCTCCCTTCATTCCCCCTCCCCCCAGTTCAGGGGTAGGCAACCCAAAACACTCAAAGAGCCTCTTGGACCCATTTTCCACCGAAAACAAAACACTGGGAGCCACAAAACCCCTTTGATATCTAAAAAGATAACACTGCATATATACTTTTTTACCTAATATATATATATTTAAAGGTAAAAAAGGATATATGCAGTGTTATCTTCATTTTAGATGTCAAAAGGGTCTCTCTCTGTGTCTGTCTGTCTGTCTGTCTGTCTGTCTGTCTGTCTGTCTCTCTCTCTCTCTCTCTCTCTCTCTTTCTGCCCTTGGTCTGCCAATCCTTTTCCCCCACTCTCTTTCTTTCTCTCTCTCTCTTTTTCCTCTCTCTCTCTCTCTCTCTCCCTCCTCCATCTCCCTCTCTTTCTCTTCCTCTCTCTCTCTTTCTCTCCCCCGCCCTCTCTCCCTCCGATCTTCTGCTCACCTGGCAACCTGGCTTCAAGCTGTTCTCCAACAAGCTCAGGGGTAGGCAACTTCGGCTCTTTTATGACTCATGGACTTCAACTCCCAGAATTCCTGAGCCAGCATAGCTGGGCTAGCTAGCTCTCTCCTGCCCTTCCTGTTTCCTGCAGAGATGCAGCCAAGGCAGGAGCCCCGCCCAGTAAGTTTGTCGGCTCATCGAACATGGTGAGGCCACTCTCTTTTTCACACACACAGAGAGAGAGAGAGAGAGAGAGAGAGAGAGAGAGAGAGAGAGAGAGAGAGAGAGAGAGAAGTACAAGTGCCTCTCTCTGTCTCTGTCTCTCTCTCTCTGCAAATGGCAGAGGAGGCTGGGAGCCGCAGGTTGCCGACCTGTGCCCCAATTTATGACAGTCTGTCATCGCAGCAAAGCACAAGCAAGCATAGGATGGTAGCTGACTGCATGTATGAAGTTTGTGAGATCAGGCTTCTGTAAACACAGAGATCAGAGCCAGCCTGCAGGTAAGAGCTGAGCTCAACTCAATCTGATTCTTTTTTTAGGGAAATTATTCGGAGAAAAGCCGTCCAGGCCCTCTACAAGTTCTACTTAATTGCACCCAATCAAGTCCAGCACATTCACGACAAATTCCGGAGGGCGTTGTGTGATAGAGATGTGGGTGTCATGGCGGCGTCTTTGCACATCTACCTGCAGATGGTGAAGGTGGGATTCTTAAGCTTCCTTAGGCTGTCAGTTTTGACAGCACATATTCCACGACAGAAGTTTAACCGAATGTAAACAAGAATGGCTTTCATCCGTACTATAAATGACTCAGCGAGTCAACTATAAATATTTAGAGTGCGGTTTTTAAGAGGAAAGGGAACTGATTGAGGATTGAAATCAAAACACATTTCACATGCCTATAAATATTGTACGTGAGTCAGAGTAGAACAAAGGGAGGGTTGGAAAATAATATTTGTCTGTAATGCTTTTAGTACCTTTTTTTTTCAATCATTATTTTCTAATAACAGATTGTGGGGATTTGGGCATTTAGCTTGGAGATTCCAGTCCTTTTTCGCACTGCTAATTCAATATTTTATATGGTTTCTTCTCATAACTGTACAGTTCAGTAATTGTTTTGGGCACTTGCTATATTTCAGTATCAAGTAATATGACAAGGTCCAATATTCTCTTTAATGACAAAGGAGCTTGCTGTAATAGAACATGTGCCCCCAAATAAAATTGTGATATGGTGGGCAAGAGAGAAACAATTGGAGTCTTAAAATATTCTCGCAATCTTATCCTTAAAATCTGATTAAATCTCATGTAACACTACTGAATTCTTGTAAGGTTCGACAGCTCTGTGAAATTTCAATCCTTTTTAAAAGTGACATTATTTCTTTTAAAGAGTGGATTCTCTAGATGACGCTTAAGGGCAGTATAGAATTCATACCACTGATTTAGACAGTGCTTCTAAAAAGACCCCCTTAGAGATATGCATCATTTTTTTTAATATAGAGTTTTATTGAGTTTTATAGGGTTAGGGAGGGGGTGGGGTCAATATGAGAATTGGGGTTCGGGGTAGAGGACAGGGTTGGGATTAGGGTTGGAACAAGGATAGGAACAACAATGGGGTTACTCCCCATTAACATTTTCAAACTTTAGCAAACAGACTATTGTCCATATGGTACATATGTTTGATAACAGTAATTAATATAGTAGTGAGTAGCTATAGTAAATATAGAAAACAATAGTCATGAACAATATCAATTAATCAATACATATCCTTCATCTTAATAAAATATATACGCCATTAAATATCATAATCCTTTCTCACTATTTCGTTTTACTAACCATTGGTAAAAATTATCCCATGTTTTAAAATAAACCGACTCTTTTTTCTCTTTAATCTCTATAGTTAATCTGTCCATTTCTGCACACAGAGATATGCATTGTTTTAAGCAGATTTTGTACTTGCTGATCACAATGTGTTTGTTCTGTGTTTTGTGTTTTAACTGTCAGTTGCCTTCCGGGGTGAGAAATCGTTAAGACGTTAGCTTTCACATGAGAAGAACAGGGAAAATGGCGATGAAATGCCACGAATTCCTGACTGTCAATTCTTAATTGTGCGTGTTGTATTTTTGTCTAGGAAGATTCCTCGGAATATAAGGATTTAACAAGCAGCTTTGTAACAATTCTGAAGCAGGTGGTTGGAGGAAAGCTCCCCGCGGATTATAACTATCACAACACTCCAGCCCCTTGGTTGCAAATCCAGCTTTTAAGAATATTAAGGCTACTTGGAAAAGATGATCCGAGGTAAAATTCTCACAATTTCGATAACGAAAAGTGAGGGGGGAAAGTATTATTTGCAATACAGCTATTTGCAGGTATGAACCATTTGCATGTTAAATAATTGTTCAGAGTTATTGAACGGTTTAAGTCCGATAAAGGGCTAGGGAATGACCTAAAGTCTCCCTTTTTTTTAAACAAAAAAAAGTGATTTTTTTTCCTTCTGTGTCAGGACCAGTGAATTAATGTATGAAGTTTTGGATGAATCTTTAAGGAGAGCAGAAATCAATCACAACATTACCTATGGTAGGTGAAGTAAGATTGTCTAACATAAGAAGAACAAAATGTATACTATAGGTATAGGTAGTGCTTGGCTTACAACAATTTGTTTAGTGACCGTTCAAAGTTACAACGGCGCTGAAAAAAGTGACTTACAGCATGACCGGTTTTCACACTTAACGTTCCTTCCCCATGGTCACGTGATCAAAATTCAGAGGCTCAGCAACTGACTCATATTTATGACGGTTGCAGTGTCCCGGGGTCTTGTGATCCCCTTTGGCGACCTTATGACAAGCCGAGTCAAGGGGGGAAGCCAGAGCCACTTAACAACCGTGTGACTTGCTTAATGACTGCAGGGATTCACTTAACAGCCGTGGCAAGAAAGGTAGTAAAATGGGACAAAACTCACTTAACAAATGTCACGCTTAGCAACAGATATTTTGGGTGCAATTGTGGTTGTAAGCTGAGGACTGCCTGTACTAGACATTCCTGCTAGTGGCGGACACCGGTCTTGATAGAATAGTGACAGATGTGCTCTAATGCAGCGTTCTCCAACCTTTCTGTCAATATTGGGCGAGGGGGGAAAGAGGGAGTGGCTTTGTGGGAGGGGCAGGAGCGTGCGTGCACGTGTGCGCACGAGCATCCATTGTTTGCTTGCGTGGGGCTGCGAGTGCCCGCGACATTCACACCAAATGGGGCCGCGAGCGCCCATGACACTCACCCAAGTGGGGCTGTGGACCCCTGTGCCGCGCTTGTCAAGCGGGGCCACGACCCCCCCATGACACTTGCGTGAGTGGGGCTGTACGCACACATGTGGACTAACCATCTACTCGCACGGCCCGGTTGCCAATAGGCCATGGAGTGGTAGTGTGCTGTGACCCACAGATTGGGGACCCCTGCTCTAATGCACTACGAATGCTTTCCTGCCTCTTGTCAGCTGCTTGGATTTGTTTTTGAATATTTCTGCATTTTTTTTAATGCGTCGGATCTCCCGCATTCTCTTTGTCTTTCCTGCAGCGATCCTGTTTGAATGTGTCCACACCATTTACACCATTCACCCCAAATCTGATCTGCTCGAGAAGGCCGCCAAATGCATTGGGAAATTTGTCTTGTCTCCTAAAATTAATTTGAAATATTTGGGTGAGTTCTCTCATTTCCCCTCCCCCCCCCCACACACCTCTAACGGAATAAATGTTGAATGCCTACAGTTTCATTTTTTAACGTTCTAGTGTCTTTTTTCCCCCCCTCCCTAGGATTAAAGGCTTTAACGTATGTCGTCCAGCAGGATCCCAACCTTGCACTGCAGCACCAGATCACAGTAATTGAGTGTCTGGAACATCCTGATCCCATCATTAAAAGAGAGGTAATAACAACCAAGTTATCATTTCATGTTAATGGAGTTAGGCCCTCTTAGCAAAGTAATAGTTTAATGAAGAGTTTAATGAATAGTTTAATGAAGAGAAGGATGAGGGGGGACATGATAGCAGTGTTCCAGTATCTCAGGGGCTACCCCAAAGAAGAGGGAGTCAAGCTATTCTCCAAGGCGCCTGAAGGCAGGACAAGAAGCAACGGATGGAAACTGATCAAGGAGAGAAGCAACCTAGAACTAAGGAGAAACTTCCAGTGGAACTCCTTGCCTCCAGAAGCGGTGAATGCTCCGACACTGGAAGTTTTTAAGAAGAGACTGGACAGCCATTTGTCCAAAATGGTATAGGGTTTCCTGCCTGAGCAGGGGGTTGGACTAGATGACCTCCAAGGTCCCTTCCAACTTTACTATTATTATTATTAATAATAATAAATAAATGCAGGCAGTCCTCAATTAACGACCACAATCAAGCCCAAAATGTCTCTTGCTAAAAGGAGACATTTGTTAAGAGGGTTTTTTCCCATTTTATTGTCATGATTGCTGATCAGAAGGTTGCACAAGCTGATCACATGACCCAGGGACCCAGCGACCCTCATAAATATGAATCCGTTGCCAGGCGTCTGAATTTTGATCACGTGACCACTGGGTTGCTGTAATGGTCGTAAGTGTGAAAAAATAGTCATAAGTCATTTTTTTCCAGTGCCGTTGTAACTTAGAATGGTCACTAAATGAACTGTTGTAAGATAAGGCCTACCTGTAATTGCATTTCTTCGATTATTGCACTAATTGGTCCCTAAACCGAATGCAGCGTTATGTTTTATCTTCCTTCTGTTTCACTCGAGTGAAATTTATTAAACCTTTATCCACTCTGCCGTCTCCTTCAGACCTTGGAACTTCTGTACCAAATAACCAATGAACAAAACGTCACTGTCATTGTACAGAAGATGCTTGACTACATAAATCAAAGCAAAGAGGAATATACCATCATCAACATTGCTGGAAAAATAGCAGAGTTAGCTGAAAAATATCCTTTTTTTTTTGCTGCGTGTGCCTGCTCCTGTTAGGTGAACTTCTGTATCTCTCCACGTACTTTAATTGTCGATGTGGATATAATCATTTTGAGGGTTGTTCCATTTTATTGCATCTAAAACTGAGATTTTTTTTTAAAGGATCTGCCTTGCAGTCACCTAAAGTTACCCAGGTTGATTTTATCAAGATCAAACTTTTGCTTCCTGTTGTTGTTGTTAGTTGCAAAGTCGTGTCCAACCCATCGCGACCCCATGGACAACGTTCCTCCAGGCCTTCCTGTCCTCTACCCTCTTCTGGAGTCCATTTAAGCTCACGCCTACTGCTTCAGTGACTCCATCCAGCCACCTCCTTCTCTGTCGTCCCCTTCTTCTCTTGCCCTCCATCTTTCCCAGCCGTAGACTCTTCTCCAGTGAATCCTTCCTTCTCATTAGGTGGCCAAAGTACTTGAGTTTCAACTTCAGGATCTGGCCTTCTAAAGAGCAGTCGGGGTTGATCTCCTCTAGGACCAACTGGTTTGATCGCCTTGCAGTCCAGGGGACTCACAGGAGTCTTCTCCAGCACCAGAGTTCAAAGGCTTTGGTTTGCTTCCTACTGAGTCACATTACATCAGAGCTGCACAATCTGGATCGTGCCTTTGAATCTGCATTCCTGACATCTGAAAACCATGGAAATCCTAGCAAATATATGTAGTCCTTACTGAACAAGCACAACTGGGACTGGCAACTTTGCCACTAAGCGAGACATCCTGTGACTTGTGATTTTACTGCTGGCTTTTCCATTGCTTTTCAGAAGCCAGCTGTGGTGCTTGCAAATGGCAATGGTGACTGCAGGAAGATTGCGATGGTTGTACGTGGGAGAACCTGTCATAAAGTTACTTTTTTCAGTGTGGTTGTAACTGAACGGTGGCTAAACAGGACAGTCATTAAGCCAGGACTGCTTGTAATTGGTACAGACTTGTGTGAACGAACGCCTTGCTATCATTTCAGGTCCCTGAACCCTTTTATAAATGCTTCCCCCTCTTTGCGTGCAAGTTAACTTTAATAAAGACATTTATTATTTGGACTCTGTAAGAGAACACTTAGTGCTGTCTTGATGGAACCCTTGTGTCCTTTCCTTAATGTCCCTGGCACATATGCTCCAAACAATGAATGGTTCATCCGGACGATGAATGCCGTGTTTTCTGTGGGAGGAGATAAAATGCATCCCGACGTTCTGAACAATTTCTTGAGACTTCTTGCGGAAGGTGAGCAAACTGGGTGACAATAACGCAATCCTCTTATTAAATAATAATAATAATAATAAAAGAATAGCTATTTCCATCAATTAAAAAAAACAAGCCTCTTTTTCTTAGGCTTTGAAGATGAGAAGGAAGACGTTCAGTTGCGGTTTCACGCCGTCCAATCTTACCTGTCATTACTAGAGGACAAACATGCAGTTTATCCGCAGAAATTTCTTCAAGTGATGAGTTGGGTAAGGAAAAAAGCAAAACAAAGATGAGACTATTTTAACATTAGTGAAATCTAGACAGATAATTAAACCTTGGAGGACTGAATTGCAACTGTACACAAGTCCAGATGGATTTAGAATATTTTGGAGGAATCATTATGTATTATTATTATTACTTAGTATTATTATTAGTCATCATAAGGATAACTCTCTTCATCGTGTGATTCAGTTGGAATTTTAGTCATGAGATCATTATTACTGCTTCATATAAGTACTACCTAAAAATTAAGTTTGGGTTCCAAAAATCCCAATTCTATGCATTGCTTGTTTTCATGTGCCTATATACATAACTCCAACAAAAAAAACCTCCTTTTCAACATCAAATTTAAAACATTATTTTTATGACTTTCAATTAAGATCTTATTAAGTCCGCTTTTGAGTAGATACAAACAAAGCTAATTATCTGGCAGTAATAAGTGAATATTTTTTTAACTGCAAAAAATTGGAAAAGGTAAATTAGAAATTGGAAAAGGTAAAAACACTTTTGGAAGGGGCTTCTGATTTTGCTCCTCTTTTTTCATTCTTTGATCATTCTTTTTTAAGTGTGAGGATAAATATTCAGTATAAAGAATAGTTCATTACAAGGGACAACAAGATAAGAGTTGGAATGAGAACCAAGTGAAGATGAAAACCTTATTATTACTGAAATTTTGGCTTTAAAGGTCTCAAGTCCCTTCCTTTTTAAAATATCTGTCTCGCTAAACAACTTTTTAAGAAATATATTCTCCCTGAATATTTCTATTTTGTGTGATAGCAAATGAACGTCGTCAGCGTTGCTCTTATATTCAGTTTAACAGTTTCTTAAACTAGAGAAAATCCAAACTGGAATTTACAATCTGTGCTGTAAAATGACTTTCTATTCATTGACTAATCGTGATATTTTTTTTTTTCCTGACAGGTATTGGGAGAGTACAGTTACCTCCTGCAAAACGTGGATCCTGAAGTTGTTTTAGCAAGTTTGTATCGGATCCTTAAAAGCAACGCCACGTCTGAAACCAAAGCTTGGATCGTGGCTGCAATTTCTAAAACGGCTTCCCGTGCAACCGGTTCAAAGACGGTGGAGAAATTCCTCTTGGAATTCAGCGCATCCTTGGATACCAGCATGAGGCAGCAGGCGTTCGAGTTAAAATACCTTTACGAAAATAAGGAACTGATGAAGAGACTGTTTCCACTTGATGCGAGCTGTAGGAACGTTGTGGTGAGTCCTTGTTACTACAAGGTGCAATGGTACGTGAGAATGACTTTAGGGCAGGAAGAAGAAGCAGTGGTCAGACAAAAGGCAACTGAGTCTACAGTTGTTATTGGGCTGTGGCAAAGTCTCAGAAGGGACCCCCCCCCTACGTTTCTTATACTAAAATGCAAGGGGGGGGGAGAGATGTCCTTTCAAATGTGCAGGGCTCTGTTAATTGTAACCTTACAATAAAGACAGAGCATACCTATGTTGTGTAGAGTATGTTTAAATGTGTGTTATGTATGTGTACACTTGGAGAGCAAGCAACTAAATTTCATTCTTAATGCGTGCCATTGTGCCCACAGTAAAAAAAAATGACAACAAAGGTTAGCTAATCTAATCTAATGAGACATTTTCTTTAAAAATAATATTTTCAATAACGTGATATGTGCACTCTGAGCCACTAATTTATTATCCGATGGATTGTTTTATAACAGCTTTGGTTTTCTCATTTCTACTCATCTTTGTCCTTTTCTCTGCTTGTTTTGTCCACTTTTAAGAATTGACAGCTGTGTCAGGCTTCTTAGTAGGCATGGCTATAAATTTTGATTTTGCAGTCTAATCTAATAGTTCTGAGAGTATTGTCTGATTACGTTGACAATACAGGTAATCCTTGTTTTACAGCAGTTTGTTTAGTGACCGTTCGAAGTTGCAATAGCAGTAGAACAAGTGTCTTATGACCATTTTTCACAGTTATCGCCTTTCCAGCCTCCCCATGATCATGTGATCAAAATTCAGATGCTTGGCAACTGGCTCGTATTTATGACGGTTGCTGCGTCCTGGGATCACGTGATCCTCTTTGGCGACCTTCCAACAAGCAAAGTCAATGGGGAAGCCAGATTCACTTAACAATCGGGTTACTAACTTATCAACTACAACGACTCACTTAACAACGGAGGCAGGAAAGGTCGCAAAATGGGGCAGAATTCACTTAACAAATGCCTCGCTTAACGACAGAAATGTCGGGCTCAGTTATTGTGTCGTAAGTCGAGGATAACCTGTATGTGCATCCTTGCCGCTTATTTCTTGAGGACTAAGGACGTCTTTATGAAAGAGGAGGGCTGTGTTTTTAAAATTTGCTTCATAAATAAAAGATCCAGACGAGCCATTTTACTTGGAAGAGTGCAGACTGTTCTGGACATTATTATTGTTTTCCATAATAATAAAACCTAATGTCTAGGCTTATGCACTTAGTTCAGTTCTTGCTGAGGACATCTGATTCCAATTAGCTTCTTTGCAAGAGGCTCAGTGTACCTTTATTCTGCCAGAGCTGCATGTTGTGAACGAGCGACAGGGATCTGGCATGTCTGTCAGTCTGCTGGAGGAAAAAAAAAAAATCCAGAATGATGCTTCCTTTAAACATGTCTTAACCGAATAACCATCTTCGACCCATCTCTGATTCAATATAGGTGGATGCTTCATTGTCTTTCTTAGACGGCTTTGTGGCTGAAGGACTGGACCGGGGTGCGCTGCCATACAAACCTCATCACCAAAGACAGGAAGAAAAACTGTCCCAGGAAAAAGGTGATTGCTTTCTAATAAAATAATGAAGATCATGTATTGCTTCCTAACTAATTCCTAATTGCTTCCTAACGGAACAATTAAGCAGTGGAACAGAAGTTGCCTTCAGAAGTTGTGGGTGCTTCCTCACTGGAGGTTTTTAAAGAAGAGAATGGACGGACACTTGTCTGAAATGGTGTAGGTCCTCCTGCTTGAGCAGGGGGCTGGACTAGAAGACCTCCAAGGTCCCTTTCAGCTGTATTCTGGTTGATTGATTGCTTAACTCAGTGATGGCGAACCTTTTAGAGACTGAGTGCCCAAACTGCAACTCAAAACCCACTTATGCATCGGTGGTTGCCGGGTGTGTGTGGCCAATTGGGTGTGCGTGGCCCATTGGGTGGGCGTGGCTGCGGTGGTAACGGCAGACTGGGTGGGACTAAAAAGTTCGATCAATCAATTCCAACTTTGCAAGATCTTTTTTTTCCCGCGAGAAGTTGAAATTGACTGATTGATTGAACCCTTTTTTTTTTTGTACAAGGCAGTGGAGGCCTCAAGCAAAAAGGTTTTATAAAACCCAGCTGGAGGCCTAGGACTGGAGCGACGGTGCGCGTGCCCACAGAGAGAGCTCTGAGTGCCGCCTCTGGCACCCGTGCCATAGGTTTGCCACCACTGGCTTAACTGAATACTTTCCCCAAGTTTCACAGCAGATACTACGTTCTGGCTTGACATCCATATCAGATTTAGAGATGGGTAAAAGCTTTACATTATCCATGTTTTGCCATGAACCAAAACACCACCCATTTCAAGAATTACTTGTAATGTCTAGAAGGGCCGCTAAATGTGCCACATTCTTGTCGAAAACTTCCTGTCATCCATGGAACTGCCTGTCCTTTTTGTGATCTGTATTACGGGGAGTCTTGGACTCACCACCGCAGTTAGGACTGGAAAATTTGCCATTAAGCGGTGCAGTCATTAAGCAAGGCTTCAGGGGACCATCCCTGATTGTATGACCTATTTGTCGTTGTCGAGAATTAATTCCCAGAGTAGTGAGGCGAGACTTCACATGATTGTGATGGAAAGCAGAGCCCTGGTGGCGCAATGGTCAGAATGCCGTATCACCGGCTAACTCTTCCCACAGCTTGGCGTTCGATCCTGACGGGGTTCAAGATTGACTTAGCCTTCCTTCCTTCCTTCCGAGATTGGTCAAATGAGGACCCTAGATTATTGGGGGCAAGATGCAGATAATGCTTCTACATTGTAAACCACCCAGAGAGTGCTGCAAAGAGCTATGGGACAGTATATAAGCTTAACTACTATTGCTATTGTCATTTTTTTTGTGTGTGTGCAATTTTTGCCTTCTGGCTTCCTCGATTTTGCTTGTTGGTAGACCACTGGGAAGGTTGCAAATGGGGATCATGTGATCCCAGGATGGTGTAACAGTCATGAAGGCAAGGTGGTTACCAAACCCCCAGTTTGCAATTTTTTTCACCGCCAGGATGCTACACGTTTCCAAATAGGTGGGCCAGTTGTAAGTTGCTTTATCAGCGTTGTCGTAACTTCGAACGGCTGCTACATGAATGGCCGTAAGGCAAGGATCCCCTGTACCCTGGCCTTGAAGTTGATGATTGTTATTTCTCTTTGCAGCTTTGAACTTTGAACCCTATGGGGAATCCCTTTCTCGGAGCTTCCCTGCATCCAGAATTACTGGCAGGCAGTCTCCAACCGGACTTTCTCTGGGCTCGGATAATAGTGTGGAGACAGGACAAAAAGAGTAAGTGTCTTTGTCTCTTCAGCAAGGACTTCTAAAACGCAGCCTGCTCTCTGTTCATACCTTGCTACACAACTGTTTGACCAACAAAACAGTTGTTGTTGTTAGTTGCGAAGTTGTGTCCGACCCATCGCGACCCCATGGACAACGTTCCTCCAGGCCTTCCTGTCCTCTACCATCTTCTGGAGTCCATTTAAGTTCATGCCTACTGCTTCAGTGACTCCATCCAGCCACCTCATTCTCTGTCATGCCCTTCTTCTCTTGCCCTCCATCTTTCCCAGCATTAGGCTCTTCTCCAGCGAGTCCTTCCTTCTCATTAGGTGGCCAAAGTGCTTGAGTTTCAACTTCAGGATCTGGCCTTCTAAAGAGCAGTCAGGGTTGATCTCCTCTAGGACTGACTGGTTGGGGACCTCTAAACTAGAAGACCTGCAAGGTCTCTTCCAGCCCTAGAATTCTATGATTCTAACCACCATCACCTCTTTAGGAACAACGGTCTGAAGCTTGAGGGCGTAAAGAAATTGTGGAGCAAAGAAGGCTACCTCCCCCAGAAGAAAAGCCCAGAAGAACGAGAAGAGATAACCACCGAGGCTGCTCTTCGGGGCGGCCCATCAGTAGAGACGGTGGCCGGCACTTTCCCACTGCAACCTAAGGAAGAAACGACGGAGGTCCCAGAAGGGACCAAAGAGAAACAGCGCCTGGCTTCAGCACTCTTTGTCGGGCTAGGGTCACAAAGCAGCACCAATCTGGTAGGATGGCTCAATTGTTGTTATTTATTCATTTTCATCCTGCCTTCATTACTTTTATAAACAAATACTTGTTTATAAATAAATATAAATGATGCTGTGTCCTATTTTCATCCCTGGTGTCAACGCTGCAAATACTGTATATTCTTGCTTTGACAATATGCAGAACTGTCTGGTATTTTTAGAGTTAATGCAGAACAGAAGAGGGTGGAGGGAAAAGCCCGGGAAAGAGAGAGGAAGGAAACCTTTGACCTTCACACTAATTGGATAAGGTGATATATGACAGCTAATTTAGGGAGAGAACATGCTGATAATTTAATTGCTCAGGGGAAGAGAATTTAGATCTTGGCATACCTTCGTTATGCCCGTGCCAACATTTTGTAACATAAATAAAGACTTTTAGGAAAATCAATGCCTGGAAGTTCTTTGAAGTGTTTCATTAGCCGGAACCATAACACCTGGGCTAAGAGAGAGGGACTGTCCAGCCAACTTTCATGGGTAAGGCGGGACTAGAACTCCCAGACTCCTGGTGATTGACCCAAGGTCACCCAGCCGGCTTTCATGGCTAAGATGGGACTAGAACTCCCGGACTCATAGTGGATTGGCCCAAAGTCACCCAGTTGGCTTTCATGTTAAGGCGGGACTAGAAATCCCAGACTCCTAGTGATTGGCCCAGCCGGTTTAATGCCTAAGGGGAAACTATAACTCACATTCTCCTGGTGATTGGCCCAGAGTCACCCAGCTGGCTTTCGTGGCTAAAGCAAGACTAGAATTCTTAGTTCCTGGTGATTGGCTCAACGTAACCCAGCTGGCTTTTATGGGTAAGGCAGGAACTCACAGTCTCTCACTTTCTAGACTGGCACCTTAACCACTAGACCAGGGGTAGGCAACTTTGGCTCTTTTATGACTCATGGACTTCAACTCCCAGAATTCCTGAGCCAGCATGGCTCAGCTTGGAAACCTCTCCCTTTCCCCTCAGCATGGCTGGCTCAGGAATTCTGGGAGTTGAAGTCCACGAGTCATAAAAGAGCCAAGGTTGCCTACCCCTGCGCTAGACCAAACTGGCTCTAAATTGAAGCTTCATATGCATGGTACATTTTTAGGATTCCCTCCCACCCCTCCCCTTCTTAGCTCCTATTGCTTTGGTTGAGATGGTCCATTCCAACTTCCGCTTTCATTTTAATCCTGCTTTCCTACCTCACTTTCTTTCCTTTCTTTTTAAGATGGGCAAGGCAGACTCCACAGCCCAGAAGTTTACAAGGAAATTGAAAATGAACGAAGCCTTCCCTAATGAGAGCTCATCGCCTATGGAAAGCTCAACTACCACTTCCCTGTTTCCGGAAGCGTCAACTGGAAAGAAGGACCTTTTTCTAAACAATGGACATCTCAAATTCAGGAAAGCTTCCCTAAATTCCGCTGAAATGCCTGAATGCAAAACGGTGCTCGATCGCTCCCATTCGTTGCCGGAAGGCGGGTTGAATGAGAAGTCCCTGGATCACCAGTTTTCACCATCTTCTTTATTTACCCACGGTCACACGGACGTTTTTCATCCTTCCACAAGTTCTCCCACTATAATTCAAAAGCGACTTTCGCAACTAACTCCTCGTCTGCCAGAAGAAGCAAGCCAGCATCCTCATTCAGACATTTCAGAACTCTGCGGCAACGAATCCCTGCTTGTATATTTTTCTAAGGTCTGGGAAGAGGACCGTTTTCTGGTTTTTTTATTTCTCGCCAATAAAAGCCCTTCCATTCTGAAAGACGTAAGTCTGGAATTCCAGCACTCCGAACATTTTAAGGTAACCATTTCAGCACCATTTCTGCTGTCGTACGGGCTTGGTGGTGATCCAGCAAAGCATCTTTAACCCGTGTTTTTTTCTTCTTTCTTCTTTTATATTGAAGATGGTGGAAAGTCTTAACTGCCAACTTGCTGTGATAGAAAGTAAAAATATAGAAAACTTCCAGATATATGTAGAGATGGAGAAAGCCTGTTCTTCAGGAAAGATCTTTGGTTGCATCAGTTATCCATTAGAATCGAATGTCCATCTCAGATTTTCTATCTCTTTAGAGCTGTTGGATTTTATTAGGTAATTATATAAAATAATTTTCTTAATAGGGGACTGGAGGCTAAAGCATATAAGGAACGGCTGCTGGAATTGGGTATGTCTAGTTTAATGAAGAGAAGGACGAGGGGGAACATGATGGCAGTCTTCCAATATCTCAGGGACTGCCATAAAGAAGAGGGAGTCAAGCTATTCTCCAAAGCGCCCGAAGGCAGGACAAGAAGCAACGGATGGAAACTAATCAAGGAGAGAAGCAACCTAGAACTAAGGAGAAACTTCCTGACAGTGAGAACAATTAACCAGTGGAACAACCTGCCTCCAGAAGCAGTGAATGCTCCAACACTGGAAGTTTTTAAGAAGAGACTGGACAGCCATTTGTCCGAAATGGTATAGGGTTTCCTGCCTG